GTGATTCTCCTGTTTTCAGCCTCCCAAGTGCTGGGATTAGGCACGTGCCACCAAGCCCAGTCTCAGTCGCCGTCTCAGTGCGCCCTGCAATTGGGGCCAGCATGGCACGTGGGGGATCAACCCAACCCGAGCCTCTGCTGTGTGCATAAGCTGGCGGTTTAGTCCACTGAGCTATCGGGCCTGCCCTCATTTTGCTCTTCTCTTATGGAAAGGACACTTCTGAAAGGCTGCCACTTTGTAGTTTGCTTACTTTTGAGACCCTACCCTGTGCTCTGCTGTGAGTCACCAAATACTGACTTGTGTTGGGTTTCCTTTTTTCTTTTCTTTTTTTTTCTTTTCTTTTTTTGACATTTAGTGCACTGTTTTACTGAAGGATGACTTGGTCTGCCTCCCCCGCCCCGCCTGAAGTCCTTGGGGCCTTCCTTCACTCTCTGTCCACAGACAGCAACCAGAGGGCCACAATAGCTGCTGGTGGATTTTAATTTATTTTTCTTACAAGTAATTTGAAATTAATCATAGTTTTTACTCATACTAATGCTGATGGTGTGGAGCACATGTACGAAATTGTGCTTCTTAATGACCTTTACAAAGTGTATGTGACTCAGGCAGTTTTTGCTCACAAACACAAAGTATCCCTCCTCATCCAAAGTGTAACAATCCTTCACTGAATAAAAGGAACCATGTAATTCCTAACAAATGGGATATCTGAAGGAAAATTGGCATTATGGTAAAAATGCTGATAATTTTTTAATATGGTATTATGCCTTACAATGTAACTTTCTTATAACTGTGACAAAAAATTCTCGGACTTGGGTAACACTTCTCAAAAATTACCATCTTTAAATAAGTGAATTATAGGGACAGACATAGAAATCATGTTTCAACACTAACAAGTACTCCAAATAATTATTGCATCATAAAGAATATTGCAGTTGAAAGAAAAGTTATAGGAGGTCTCATCTAACCCAGTATATCATTTTATAGATGAGGCTAAGGAGGATGAAGTGATTCACCCAACATTAACCTGAAAGTTAGAGTAGAGATGGACTTGGAAATAAGTTCTGGCTCTCACTCCTTAATGCTATTTCATTAAATGGCCTCATCTCTGGTCCAGCCTTTGTTGGTTAATATCATCATGACCTTTGGACTGTTAAAAGAAATTAAATCACTTGCTTGAATGTAGCAAATGGCAAAAGTAGGTGTAAGAAAGACCAGCAGCCTTCTTATGTAGTATTCATTCATTATGCTGTCCTCGCTGCTTATATTGGCTGCCCGTCTTCCTCTTAATCTGCCCCCTCTCTTTTGTCAAATATTTAATGAACACCTGAAATATTTCAGATCAAATAATGGGGTTGCAATGTCCTCAACAGAGTTTACACCAAGTACAGTTCATTTTAAAGGAGAAAATGTGGATGGAGTTTTGATGGTGTGCGTGTTCGTAGGTTTTTCTAAAACATAAAAATTTACTGCTAAGCTCTTCCTCAGTAGTTTCAAAGCAATGTGAGGTCCTGGCTAACCAAGCCACCCAACTTCGGCCTGCTTGAGAATCTCAAGGCAGCGTTCTTACTATTTAGTCTCCAGACTATTGACGAGAGGCTTATCCTACAAATTCTTCTTTGGGCACTCTTGAAATGTGTACCTCGCGTATGCCAGGGTAGCCTCATGTTGAATTTTCTTTGTGTGTGAAGGACAGCATGTTCTTTGCTTCGCCGATAGCACTTTCCCACATACACTCAGGGAAAGCTTTTTTCTCCTCTCAACAGGGCTCAAAAGTCTTGACTTGAGTACTTCAGAAATAGGCCTGGTTTATACTTTTATAAAAACAAGCAGAGTCTGGACAACCTCACTCTTGGAACAGCACAGATGGCCTGAGTTTCCCAGAGGCAAGCAGATGAGTGGTGCTTAGGAGAACACATGGACTCGCCTCCCTGCTCAGCAAGGCTAGGGACTGCTCAGTCTTTCTCTGGGGAAAGGAAGGGTGGTGTCTTCAGCAAAGAGGGTTTGGTGTTCACTGGAAGAAAAAGCTGCTGGCGTGTGCAAGGTGAGATGCAGGAGCTACAGCTCAGGATTCTTAGATGTCCTGTCCTATACTCCCCAGGGCATAAAAGTAGTTTTATCTACTTCTTTTCTTGATGCAATATGCTGGCAATTCATATGTACATTTAGAAAATAATTAAAGTGATAATTAGGATGGAAAATCTTGGACCTGGAGCTAGGCTGATGTCCTGAGCATGCTGCATTTACTAGCATTCATTGAAGTTCACTAAGAGCAACATTTTTTTTTTTTTTTTTCCAGAAATGGGGATTGAACTCAGGTCTTTGTGCTTGCCAGGGAAGCGCTTATTCCACTGAGCCATCTCCCCAGCCCCAAGAGCAACCTTTTTGAAAAATGTTTATTAGTTCAAGTTTCTAGTACATAATGATGACATTTCTTGTAGGGAGTGGGTACATAACCAAGAAAAACCTCTGTACCTCATCTTTCTGTCCCTAAGAGCCAGAGGCTTGCCCTGTGAAGGTCTTGGTGTGTATGAAATTTGCTCAACCAGCGTGTGTCAGGGCAAAAGAGTGGAACTGTGTCCTCCCTCCTGCCCTACGCTGCAGAATCACAACAGCTTCTCTTCTGGGCTAGGAAAGACAGTGTACACTGAACCTGTATTTTAGGTCTAGGGACTTTTACTCAACTTTGTATCTCTTTAACGATGCATCCTTTTCTCTCAGCTCTTTGTCTTTAAACGGTACTTTAATCTCAAATACATAACTATCATTTGGAGTAACAACTTTAAGACCAAATAGATTACAAGATGGCTGAGTATCTTACTAAAACTGTTACTGATGTTGTCTGTGCATCTATTAGAGGTATTTGACAGCATATTACAGTGGTTGTAGGAAGTGAGATGACATACATGGAATAATTAGTAAATATGCATTAATTTTTCACTAGAGGGCATATTTTATTATCATAGGTAATCTAGGTAGTACTTAGAACTGAGTTGGCATTAGGGAATCAAGCAATGGTAGAAATTATGGCATTATGAATTTTAGTGGCTTATGGGAACCTTCGCGTTGAGCACAGTTTCTGGAAACCTTGCAGAACATTTCTCACATTTTCTTTCATCATTTGGCCAAGATGTTTGGGAGTAGGTAAGCAATGTGACCCCCCCCAGCGGCAGCGTTTCTTGTGTCCTGTCTCCCCCGGGCTCTGCCATGATCCTGTGAGTAATTGAAGCTTTAGTTTAGAAAGTAATATTCTAGTGTATAGGTACAGCTTATGTGGATGAGACTTGTGAAAGTTATACTGCACTTGCGTTAGGTAACAATTAACTATTCTGCCATGTGCCTGGTGTGTCCTTCAGAGTAAACAATCTAATATAAGATTAAGGTTCAACATGTTGGTGCCTGAAAATTTAGTTTTTCCTAATTAAGAGGAAATGTGAAGAATGAGCATAAGTAAAATATGGAACTGCCTTGGGGTCCTTTTGTTGGGAGTACCTTTCAGGTAGTGTAGAAGTTGGGATTGAATTATTTTAATTAAAAAAATTTTATTAGTACATTTTTTTCACTGCATAATGATTACATTCACTGGGGGAGGTTGGTACTTGTAGTCAACTCATTTAAATTCTTTTTATTTCTCTTTCCCCTCCTATACCTGCTTGTGGCCTGGTTACATCACTTTCCTTCTTTGATCCTTAGCTTACCTGCCCTAAGTTGGAAGATGTACCTAGAAGAATTCATATGCACCACTTTATCCTGTGGCTAGGACTTCGGTTAATGTGTGCTGGTTATTTCTTTCCTTGACAGCTCAAAGCATTTGCTATGCAGACATCATTTGATTAAGGGCTTCCAAGGTCGAGGTGCGTGGCCAGCCTGAGATGTGGTTCTGCCAACAAGACTTTCAGGGGTGCTTGCAGCTTTTTTATTTATCCAATTCATGGGTTTATTTCTGAAATGGCCTTTTTCCCTCTGGGTTGCAGTACTCGGGCTTTCACACGGAAAGATCAGAGTCGGACCACGACAGCCAGTGGGGCGGGAGTCCCCTGACCGACGCGGCCTCCCCGCAGCTCCTGGACGCGGCCGAGCGCCCGGGCTCGCAGCACGACGCCGCCTGCGCCTACCGCCAGTTCTCGGACCGCGGCGCGCTCTGCTACGGCTTCGCGCTCGACCCCGCCCGGCTGGTGGAGGACCGGCACTTCCACAGCCAGGCGTGCGAGGGCGGCCGCTGCGAGGCGGGCAGGTACTTCCTGGGGGCGCCGCAGGCCGGCAGGGAGCCCTGGTGGGGCGCTCGCGCGGCGCTGCCGCTGACCAAGGCCTCCCCGGAGAGCAGGGACGCCTACGAGAGCGGCGCGCACCTCGCCTCGGTGCACCGGCTGCACGGTAAGGGCTGCTCCCCTGCGCTCGCAGCAGCCGAGGGACCCACCGAGTCCGAGCGTGCTTTCCACTTAAAAATCATCCCCTCCCGCGTCCTTCTTTTAAAAAAAGTGGAATTTGCAAGTTTAATGAGCACAGGTCAAGTCTACTTCGCTTAAGTTATTCTGATATTGTTTGCTAAATATATTTATGCCAGAAGAGAAAAAAAAAATACAAAGAATAGAAATTAAGTGAAAGTAAATTCTTCTCTGCAGAGTTTGTAGTATGCACGCGTTTAATCGCTCTGTATTATTCTCTTGCGTATCCCCTTCCAGGAAGGCGTGGGGGTGTTACGCAGTGAGGGCACAATAGCAGTTTGCGGGAGGCCAGTCTGTTCTGCGGTCTGTCACTTGTGTGATAGATTCTGCCTCTCAGAGAATTAAGGGCCCATCCCCCTGTAACTAGACAGCCCCGGGGCCCCTGTAGGTCAGAATGGAGTGGTATGTGCAAATCACAGAGATTTTCATCTTGGTATCACCTTTATGAACACAGAACTTTCTTATTGCAAATTTTTTTCTTTGTTCATTTCAAAGAAGAGCCCACTGTGCACTCCAAGCTGCCATGCAGCGGGTCCTTGAAAACCTCCCCATTTTACTAAACATTAGTAAAAGATTGATCTGAAGGCCCTGGTCTTACTCTTCTTGCCTAAAGGATGTGAAATGAGCTTTAGACAATGTTGTCTCCATCCCTGAAGTCACCTGTCATATGCCACCTACACACCGGTGGCTTTCTCTGAGGAATTTTAATTTGTGCCCATCCTTGCTTTTTTACTTTTCTGCTTTTTCTTTGACTAAACAACCTGTTTTGAACCAAGGAACGTTCAGTGATCTGGTACTGGAGACTCAGGGCAAAGGGCAATTGCTTGCCCAAAAGCGAGGGAAGAGCAAGTGCCTGCTTGGCCTGCCGGCTCCCGGAGAGAATATTAGGAAGAAAATGAAAGAACAGAGAAAAGGAAGACATGAGTAGTGTGATCCAGGGCTGCTCTGCCAAGAGAAGTAGTGTGCAGGTTTCAGATGACCCTACCTACTTTTTTTTCTTTCTTTTTATATTGACTTCAGACTGTTTTGAGAATAATTTGGCTTATGAAATAATTGTGGACACATTATTCTTCTACATTAATTCTCTTTCCTTGGTTCGGAGCAGATTGTTATTAAAATGATTAATATTTATTTATTCTTCACCTTATTTCAGAAGTAATCCAGGATACTTGAGATTTTAGATGATTACCCCTAGAGCTGATGTGCCATTACATTTGATAAAGTTTTAGTTGTATTTTTAATTAGGACAAGATACATCCATATCTCTACCCATTCATATATATATATGTATATATATACACACAAACATATGCATACACTTTTTAACCCTTACTTGACTAAAAAGACAAACAGATACCTGACCCTATTTAAGATATATTGAGCAATATTAACATTTTCAATTTGATTTATTTTGAATAGAGAATGTAATTTAGCTTGTGTAATTATTTTCCTGAAACTTAATTGAAAGTATTTTCTCTGCATCTGTCTAACATTACCCTGCTCTAGAAAGCATAAATCGTGTTCTGTGTATTTTATTTTGTGACTTGCAGCTGGGGAGGTCTAACAAGATGCCTAACTGGGGAAGCAGATATATCTCCAATTTACTATTTCACTAATCGGCACATAGAACCCAGGAGCAAGTTTTGTCTTCTAAGATGTTTGTTGTAAAATTCACCTGCCCAATACTGATTTAAATGTAAACTTCAGTATAATAATTGACACCATCATATAGGCCTGTGCCTGTTTCAAATATTGGTATATATATTTGAAAATGAAAAAAAGGTTTATTTTAATAGGAAAAAAATGTACTTCTTTTGGTGATTTATGTGACCACTTACTTTTGCTCTTTTTGCTTTCTAGGGCGAGGTCACTGGGATGAAGATAGTGTGGTCAGCTCTCCAGACCCTGGGTCAGCCAGTGAATCAGGTGACCGATATCGCACGGAACAGTACCAGAGTAGCCCACATGAACCTAGCAAAATTGAAACTCTTATAAGAGCTACCCAGCAAATGATTAAAGAAGAAGAGAACAGATTGCAGCTAAGGAAAGCGCCCCCAGACCAACTGGCTTCCATGAACGGAGCAGGGAAAAAACACTCTCTATGTTTTGCAAGCTATTCACAGCCCCCACCAACAGGCGAAGTCTGCCACAGCTCTGCCCTGGCCAACACTTCACCGTGTGACCACATCCAGCAGAGAGAGGGAAAGATGCTGAGCCCCCACGAGAATGACTATGACAACAGCCCCACTGCACTGTCTCGGATAAGTAGTCCCAATTCTGATCGCATTTCAAAATCCAGTTTGATCCTAGCGAAAGACTACCTACATTCGGATCTGTCTCCTCATCAGACAGTGGGAGACCATGCTGCTGTTTCTCCAAACTGCTTTGGCTCTCACCGGCAATATTTTGATAAACATGCATACACATTAACTGGATATGCCCTGGAACACTTATACGACAGTGAGACCATTAGAAACTACTCCTTGGGCTGCAACGGCTCACATTTTGATGTAACTTCCCATCTGAGGATGCAGCCAGACCCCACACAAGGGCACAAGGGAACGTCTGTTATAATAACCAACGGAAGCTGATGTTTTATTCTTTAAGAACAACTTGGTTCTTCGAGGATCTCTGAAATATATTTATAGTTTAATACCCCATTACCAGCATTTAGTATGCTGCAGATTGTTAGGATAACAATTACTGGGTATTTGACATGTGTTCTTGTGAAATTAAGAAAAAAATAACACTGACTTTCAGGATTATATACAGGGAGATAACATGAACACATAAATGGCCCCTCTAATTATATGCAAACCAGAATAGTATATTTTGGAAGGAAAAAATGCTCATGTAGATCAAGCAAATGTATACTCCACATGAAAGGGCTGATGAATGCCATTGCATTGTGAGGATGCAGTGAATTCCAGGCACTCAGGCCTCTGTTCACAAACATCTAAGTACACTTTACATGCAGAATTAGAAAACATGGACCACACATATGCCCCAAATGGGTACCTTTCTTTAACTTTACCACATTAAGGTTCTTAAATAAATTTCCATTCCCAACATAAGGAAGAGACAGACCCATTTTATAAGCTGACTGCTTTCTAATTCCAGCCCATTTGGTTCAGACGTACGTTAGAGAATGGGTTCTGGCCATGGTGTGAGAGTGAGCTTTCACCTGGTATCCATTTCAAGCAATCAGGAAGTGGTGATTTTTCACGTTATTTTTGAGCTGGACAAGGACAAGGATTGCACTGACGTAGCAGTCAGGGTTTTTCTAAGTAACAGCATTGAGATGTTGGGAGATTCATCAAAAATATGGGATGCTCAACTGGAAGCCAGTTTAGTGAAGACGGAAAGACCAGAGACAGAGTGGAATTAAATGACATCTCAAAACAAACAATTTAAGGCTCAGCATAGATAAACAATATATTTGGGGCTTGCTAATAAAACCAGTGAAACAAAACATCAATTTCCCAAGAAAAAAGGTTGACAAGTACAAAAGTGACTAAAGAAAGCCAGTGAAGTGCTACATGACAGCAGTGTAAGTGTTTGAAAAGTTTTCAAAGCACAGATGTGCCAGTGTGTTAGCATGTGGAAAGCCTCAGGAGAGAATCTAAGATAAAAGCCTACGCAAATAAGCAAGTATTTAGAAGGGTGGGAGGAATGGGAGCTTTGGACTGAAGGAACAGCCAAATGTTTATAGACAAAGAACAAACTTGTTGTTACAGCCGTGTAGTACTAAGCAGTAGTCTGGGTTAGTCAGGGGTAGTTCCAATGAACTTTCTCTCAGATCCAGCCAAAATTTAGGTGATAGGAAATTTTGAAAGGGAAGAAAAATAGTAACATTTATTTAATGTGAGGTTCTCCAGTAGCCAAAGTAAAATGATGTGAATGATGAGAGAAATTTCAGTGATTAGCTTTCATAAGGGTCACATTCCTGGAAAACTTTCCATACTCCAAGAAGGGAATGCACTGAAAGAATGTGACCTATAATTTGGAAGACAGAACATGACATTGGACCCATAGGGATTAGTGCGATAATTTCAACATTTAATATGGCTGTTTGAGAGTTCATAGCTTGGTGACAATCCGCATAATAATATTTTGAGAGGTGAACGCCAGGTTGATTGTACATGAGCAAAGAAGCTATATACAATGAAATATCTTTCTTGGGAATGACAGAACATTTGCCAGTGTAGATACAAAAAGGGTGACGTAGGTGAGAAAGGTAGTAGCTATTTATTTTCAAAAATATTCAAAGTACAATGAAAGTGAAATTTTAAACTACACAAGAAAAGTTATTGAGTAATTTTGAGAAAATTACTTGTGAGGATCCCTGGAAAATGTCAAATGTCTAGCAATTTACATCAAGCAAGGTTTTAGGAAAGCTAAAGATTTTGCAAAATTGTGTAGATGGATAAATGTTTCAGAGATACAAAGATTAGATAAGCATGACCAATTTGGAAAGGAAATCCATACTGATGGCTTGTATTGATGAACACATTCAACCAAGTATATCAGCAGTAGATACTGTAAGAAAAATGGAAGCTTGAACACCAACGACAATGAACTGATAATAAAAAAAAGACAGTTATTACTGGGACTTCAGTGACATTTTTTATATGGCAAATAATTAGTAGGAAGAATAAATTACAAACTCCCCAAAATAGGGTTGATCAGGAGGAAGAATTTTTTTCTTAAAATGTTATGCTCAATATTTTAGTGGAAGAAAAAATTAACTAACTTAGTTTCTCTTTTGATCCTGGGATTTGAACCCTAGGACTTCCTATTGAGCTATACTCCCCAGCCCTTTTTATTTTTGAAACAGGTTCTTACTCACTGGTCTAGGCTGGACTTAAACTCCTCATCCTTCTTTTTTTTATTATTAATTTTATTGAGAAAGAAATAACAATGAGACAGTTTCAAACTGTAGTAGGACAATTACAATAATTAACACATTCTTAGTCTCCCAAGGAGCTGGGATTGTAGGTGTGTGCCACTGCACCTGGCTTAAAAACGTTGATAGATGACCCAGTTTAAAATGTATCACCTTGTATTTAATGTACTGAATGTCAATAATTTTTCAGGTTGCACGTGATCCGTTACAGAGTCAGTGTTGCATACCTTACGTTTCTCACTGTGGCATGATTATTACTGAATGTTCCAAAATAAATTGGCATTTTATGACAGATCAGTTTCCTACTGTTCATGTAGATGTATAAAATATATTTATAGTTTACTTTTTTTCTGTTCAGGAGCGTACTTCCTCATAAGGATGATATTATCTGTGTCTCAAAAATGTAGGATGTAAGCTAAATATGTTCCCAGTAATTAATCAATTAAAAATTAAACTGGGTTTTGTGAGGGGGTGAGCTAGGGTCTCACTCCGTAGCTGTGGCTGGCCTAGATCTCCTTGTGTGCCCCAGGTTGGCCTCGACCTGGTGGCGATCCTTGTGTGGCTCTGCCACCATGTCTGGCTATATTGGCTTTATTTTTACCCTTGACCTCCATAATTGTGCTAAAATGCTGAGAACTATGACCCTTGAGTGAAAGAGTGAAATCCCATAATGCTTCTTTATGGCACTTTGGGCATTCATAAAAATGCACTGTATCCAATTATACTGCTACGATATGTACCAGTTTATTATATGTCACTAAGCTCATGTTTTTCAGTAATAGTAAAAACGTATCTGTTGTCCATTTTGTCTGTTTTACCCAATTTAAAAATTTGGATGTCCAAAATGAAAAAAGAGTAGTTCCCAATATTGCTTGGGAAAATTCTGTTAAAATCATTATTGAGACTATATTGATTTGTTGATTTAGTTTTGGATGCATGACATTAAGATCACAGCTGCTACAGTCCAGACATTTAGGTGTGCTTCAGCCCCTAAAGTTTTTTTGGCATATTATGCTGAATCTAATATGCTGGATTTTCTAAACTGTAATTGCCTGATACAAGAGAATATGACAGTGTGGATGGGACATTCACAATGAGACAGGATGTAATAAGTGACTTGTTTTCAGTGTTCATACAGAAAGACTGCTTATTGTTTACCGATTGCATTGTTCCAGCGCTAGGATACTGCTGCTGGGTACTGTTCTTAACTCTCTCTGCACCACGCTGCCACATGCTGCTTCAGGGCAGAGAGCCCCACTTAAAATAAGTTGTAATGGGATCTTGTAGAAAAGGATCACATGTTCCATTTCTTTCTTTCTCAAAATGACAGATGAGGATCAGTTCTAATACAAAATTGCTTGGAAAATACCCATGGATATTTTAAAATAAAATGAAAGAGCCCCTCCCCCAAGACCTAGACCAAATAATTTTGCTAGAAGATAATACAGCTCAAGAGACACTCAATGCAGATTAGGTATTTTACAGCTCTCTTGGTCTCTTTTAAGAGCAGGGCATTATTAAGAAATTCAGTGCAACCTGTTAGCACCAGTAGTACTTGGGAGTGACAGAGTGAACGCTGATATTTAGAAAACTGAGTATCTGTTTGAGAGTCAGTCACCTTGTCTGGTGGAATAGCTTACGCTTGAATACAGTCCTGATTTAAAAGCTCAGATGCCCAGATTTGCCCCCCCTAGTTCACTTAAACCATAGAGGTAGGCATACGTCTTCTGTTCAGAATGATTAAATAAATGCCTCCAAATAAATTATTCAACTTCCATGCAAATGTCATTTTTGTGAATAGGACTATAAGTCTAAGCAAAAAAAAAAAAAAAAAAAAAAAAAAAAATCAGCTAGTTCCTACTGTGAAACAAACTGGATAAAGCATCATTCTAAATTTTAAATGAATCCCAGAACACCTACGGACTTGTGAAAAAGATAGACATAGAAAATGTTCTTGAGGAACACTGTTGTGCGGTGCCCATTTCTTGTGTGTGGAGATTGCGTGGGCAGTGCTGAGGGTGAGACTGTACTCACTTCCAAACAGGTGTGTGCGCAGGGTTCCTTAGCTAAGATTGTATGCAGAAAAGCTGCGCACGCACCGCCACCCCCGTATGGTTTTCTTATCATCTTCGGAATTAAAAATGTGCCATATCCAATTTTATATGCAAATCGCTCACACAAGAAACCCTCCTTGATCATTTCAAACCAAACATTTGTAGTTTTATTTATGGCAACTTTGCTGCGTGGGACTTTGCTTTCCTAACCCTAGATGGGAACCGTTTGTCTGAATTTGCTGACCTGACACATTTAACCACAGTTAAATTTTCACCTAACAATCCTCACCTCATTTCAGAAGAAATGAAATTGGCCTGGAAAAAGTTTTAGCAGTACTGTAACTTTTTTTTGTCTTTTTTTTTTCCCAAGGGAACTATTTCAAAAATGAAACATAGGAGTAGATGCTTCAAAAAAAGAGAAAAATATTTTATGTTCGCTTTTTGACTGAAATGCTATAAAAAGGATTATATTTGTGAGAGAAGATACTGATTGTCAATATCCCAAATACCATCTTGCAATGTATAGTTTTTAGTGATACTGTAGAATAAAGCTGTAATTGGAACTTTTACTTTGGAATGTAAAGTAGAAAATATTAGCCATGTCAATGATATCTTGCAAAGTGTTGCCATTTATAATTATTTATATTGTAAATAGCTTTCTGAAGTAAATTTGAAGTTAATGTGCATAAAATGTATTTATTATGTGAGGATTTTTTTTTTTTGGTTTAAAATATAGTTACCACTACGCAGTTTGAGTCTGAATTATTCATTTAAAGAAAAGTCTTTGTCAGACAAAACTGACTGTCCTAGAAGACGAGTTCTGTAAAGAAACAGGGCTGCATTTCAGCTTTAGATTCTGTTGGAATGGGCACCCCACACACACATGAATACATGAGAGGCTAAAGAAGAAAAGGCAGTTTAGCGGCATAGCAAGGTTAAGCAATGGGTCGGAGGTTTTTAGGCTGGTAGACAGTTTTTAGTGCCTCACCAAGACATCCTAAATAGCCTGCTGCTTCCTCCACTTTACTAAGTAAAACATTTGAAAGTATAGATTGCATTTTTAGTATCTGAGAAAAAAGAACATTGCTAATATATGACAAATTAGTTTGCTGTTCAAGAGCACATAAAATATTCTAAGTGATTTTTTGCTCTGGAATCTGAGTTATTTTTTAAACTCAAAATTAGAAGCTAATGACAAAGAAAAATATATTTCTTTCTTTTTTTTGTTATTTTAGGACAGGGTCTACAGGGTCTATAGGGTTTCACAATACAGATCAGATTCATAATGATCCTCCTGTTTTCAGCCTCCCAAGTGCTGGGATTACAGATGTGCGCCACCAAGCCCAGTCTCAATCACTGGCTCAATGCACCCCAGGGGCAAGGCTGGCAGAGCATGCAAGGGATCAAACCTAGCTGCTGTGTCTGCTTAAGCAGGTGCTTTAGTCTGTTGAGCTGTCTGGCCAGCTCTAGAAAAATATATTTCAATAGGTTTTTCTTAAGCATTTTCATATTTCCCTTCATGTTTTTTTTTCTCCAGAAATTTCTGTTGGCCAGTTCAACAGGTATACACAGCATCTTTTCTATTTATTGTTTATTTTATTTTATTTTTTACATCTTTATTTATTGATTTGATACATGTCTCACTATGCACAGCTCAGACTCATAGTGATCCTCCTGTCTCAACCTCCCCTACCCTGGGATTACAGGGTAATCCCAGTTTGGGGGCCCACAGGGCATGTAGTACAGGGGATCAAACATGGGTCCTTGCGCTTGCCAAGCAGGAGCTTAGACTGTTGAGCTATCTCCCCTGCCCTAAAAGCATCTTTTTAATTCATTGGAAATGGTGCTTGTATTTCAGAAAGCTTTTTTAACAAAGCCAAACTAAATATTAGAATTTCATTATATCATAGCACTTACCAGATATTCCCCAACATGATGTTTTAAGATACTTTTTTTAGTACTTTTGCCCCAGTTTTTATTTTTATTAGTTCTTTTATTCGACAATTAAATTGTTGTCACCTACTTTGTTTTTCAAAATAACTACCCTTGGAATTTAATCTACAATTTATTGAATATTGTGAGCCTTCATTACTTTAGTGGTACCTCAGTTCATGAACTTAATTTGTTTTACCATTTTGGTGACAATGATAGTGCTTGTGTTTGTCACATGATGCAAAATTCTGTGGAATGCTTTTGTTTGAGAACTGAATTATTTGAGAACAGATGTGCTTGTGAACTGAGGTATTACTCTATAGCAAATAATTGAGATGACTGTTTTGGTTCAGGTTTTTGGAGGTTTCAGGCTGTAAGCTGGTTGACTCCCTTGCTTGTGGGTGTGAGGTGAGGCAGCACATCATGGTGGGGAGCGATTGGGAAGTGATGAAGAGAAAGCTGAAGAGGCTTTCTGAAGAGGCTACAGAGTCTCACTACACAGATCGGACTCATAATGATCCTCCTGTTTTCAGCCTCCCAAGCGCTGGGATAACAGGTGTGCACCACCACGCCCAGTCTCAATCTCCATCTCAGTGCGCCCCAGGGGCAGGGCCAGCACAGCAGGCCTGGGATCGAACCCTGGTCCCTATGTCTGCCTAAGCAGACACTTTAGTCCACTGAGCTATCTGTCTGTGTTGCCCTTTTTACTTTTTGTTTTGTTTTGTCTTGTTTTGTTTTGTTTCCTGTTTGGATAAAATCTAGCCAGAGTTCACTCGGCCAAGAACCAAGATGTAACAGCAATAACTGCTTTAGGGGCTTGGCTTTAATGTGTCTCTGCAGACACACTGTGCATTTTCTTTATCTAAGGGGCTGGTTGCAAATAATATGTTATGAGTTTCCTTCATTTGAAGGGAAGCTGTCTGCCTGTTATCTGGGAGGAAGGCTGCCCTTCAGGACAGGGATGATGTCTGAGTTGTTTTGAA